TTGGAGCAAATCTATCAAAGAAGAGCAGAGCTTTAATTAGCGTTGCCCCTCCAGACTGTCGAAAATCGCGTCCTGGACCCCTCTTGGATCGCTCTTGGAGCGCTCTTGGATGCTGTTGAGGCAGTCTTGAGGCTCTCTTGGGCCCCTGTTGGGGCCCAGTTGGGACATCTTGGCGCCAGCTTGAGGCCTCGGATGGGCTTCGGAAGCGAAAAAGTGAGAACACCAAAAACAGTGATATTCCCTAGGGTTTTGAAGCATTTCGGCATTTTGAGGGCACTCTAATGATGCTCTTGTGGGCACTTGGAACCATCTTGGAGCGGTCTTGGAACGTGCTGGAGCGTCTTCTGAACCATCTTCAGGCATCTTGTGTTATCTTGAGCCATCTTGGAGGCGATCTTGGGCTCTCTGAGGCCCTCTTGGAGCCGTCCTGGGCCATCTTGGACGCTCTGACCGCTCCCCGCCCCTCCTGTCCAGGTCAGTGGGGAGGGGGTAGGGGGAGGGGTAAACCCCTCCCCGAAGGGGAAGAGGGAGGGGTGGAAGAGGAAACGCCCTAAACCACCGACGCCCAGAGGGCTGGCGGGATTGCGCAATCGTTGTTTTGGGCCACGGGGGTATGGCTGAACATGTCCTTCAATGTGTTGGTCCTACCCTTTTGCGCTCAATAGAACTCTTCCGTGAATGACGTGTCCACGGGTTGTCGTCGTTCAAGATGCCGCTTCCCACAGTGAAAAAGAATGCTTGCATAGATGCATGAGAAGGGGACTTCGAGACAGCATGGTGTCTTGCGGCATCATCGACGCACCGTGGAATTATTATGGTCATCCTTCTTCCTCTTCCTCATCATCATTATCATCACCGTCATCATCACCAGCAGCATCATCATCCTCGTCCTCCCCTCCCCCTCCATTCCCCCCCTCCCTCCTCCTGCCTCCTCCTCCCCTCCCTCCGCCCCGTCATCTCACGCGCGTGTGGGTGGCGGATGGAGGTAGGAGGGGGAGGGAGGCAGGCAGGCAGGCAGGCAGGCAGGGAGGGAAGGAGGAGGGAGGGAGGGATGCAAAGGAGCGAGGAAGAAGAGGATGATGATGATGATGAGGAGGAGGAGGAGGAGGAGGAGGAGGAGGAGGAGGAGGAGGGGTCGTACGCTACAGTCACGCTGGCCCAAGCTTGCCGAAAGCAAACAAGAGGAGGAGGAGGAGGAGGAGGAGCAGGAGCAGGAGCAATGAGCAGTGAGCAAGGCGCGGGGAATCCGAATGAGTTACTCGAACCTCATACAATAAAATTGGCAACGGACTCTGCGCGACCCGACTTCGAGGGTCAGCTGGCAGAAAGGGACAGGGGAACCCCTTTCTGGCAAGGCCAGTACCGCCCCCGAACGACGGCGGGCCTCGAGCGCCACGCTGGCGCGTGAGAGGAGCCGTCTGAGGGACCGACTATAGACTGGACCTGCCGTGTTTTGCCATCTGGCCCGCCCCCTTGCGTGGAGCCTGCTTCGGGGCCACGGCTAAGGGGATCGGGGGAAGATCACGATTCGAATACGTATCACAGCCCGTGGCCTGGAACGGGTCGGGGATGGTCCTTCGGGCAACTGAAACAGCTAAACGTTCATTGCCCCCAAAAGGCACCCAGACTCAGATGTTTCTGGCTCGCGCTCCTTCTCTCGAGCGCGAGCGGCTTCTGTTTTTGGATACGTCCACACGGCGTTGGCTCCATCGCTCTTGCCCAGGGCAAGGCGAGGAGGCGCGCTGCCTTCCTCTCCAGGGGCCCACGAGGGGCAGGCCCCATGAGCTGCGCCGCCTTGGAAGCCCCCGCGCTGTTCGGGAACTGAATCCTCAACGACCTCGCTTCGCGACCTGGCTCGTCGTACGAGAACGCGAGCGTCAGGCGGCCCGTCGGCGTCGTGTCGCCGTCCTCCTCCCGAGCCGTCTTGCTCGTGCGCTTGTACTCGCGATACCTGAAGTGCATCACAAGCATGGCCACCTGAGGCGGGGTCTTCGCATTGATGTGCTGCTGGAAGAACTGATAGAACAGTTCAGTGTTCCACACGTTTTTGAATCCCTAGTTGTCGCTTCCCTGCCGTCCATCCATGGCTGTTTGCTCAAAGTCTTTTTCCAGGGCATGAAGGAAGCCCTGCGGCCCCTCGTCGAGGCCAGCGCCTCGGGGATCCGCGAGATTGCCCGCGCGGGCTTCCACGCTGGCGCGTCCTGGGCGCTGCTGCCCAGCTGCCCTGCGGCGCCGCCCTGCCCGCCGTACCCGCCTTGCCCCGCGTGCTTCTGCACGTGCGGGGGGGGAGGCGGAGGCGGCGGCGATCCTGCGGGCGGCGGCGGCGGAGGCAGCAGCCCTCCCTGGCTGGCGGCCGCAGGCGGGCCGGTGTGCGACGCGCTCGCCGACGCGCTCGTCGGGGCGCTGCGCGAGGCGGTGGAGGGCTGTGTCGGCTGGGGAGCCGCGATCGCGCTGGTGCTGCTCGCGCTGCTCGCAGGGTTCGGTCTCGGACGCATCAGCCTCGCCGCGTCGGCCCGCCTCGAGCCTCGCGATGGCGCTGGTGCCCAGGGGATCGTCGTGGCGGCTTCTCCCGGGGTGCAGAGCAGTGGTGCGCTACGCCGGGGACGACCTCTGGCACGAGCGGATCTTGCTGTACCCAGCAGCCAGTGAGGCCGCGGGCGCCGGACTCCCAGGAGCCTGCTGGGTGGTGTACACTCCCGACCACGATATGTACATCGAGGAGCTCGAGGGAGGCTCGCCCGACGACAGTCCCGTCGAGTGGCTGGAGATGCCGCGCGACTTACGGCTGCCCAGTGGGCTTGGGCGGGCGTATCGCTTCGAGGAGGTCCCGACGGAGGAGGTGATGAAGGGCCTCTACCGCCGGGCCTACTCGGCCGCCCAGGCCGATGCGGAGTCGCGCGGGGTGCTCCTGGAGACGCCGGTGGCGGTGCGTACGGCCGCAGGCAGGGATGTGGCAGTGCACGAGGCGCTCGGGGCCAACTTCTTTGGCGGCCGACGGATGACGGGCAAGAGACCGCCTTTGGGGCTGGACCTCGGAGGAGACCACGGAGGCCACGCTGGACCGGCAGCTGCGGCCGCGGAGGGCCTCGGCGACAGCGGCGCCCCAGGGCCTGCGGTTGAGGGCACTAGCACGCCGCGCTCGAGCGGCCGCGTCTGGCGAGCAGCCGAGGCCGACGAGCGCTGCCGCATCGCGCTGGGGGATGAGTTGGGGCCTCCTGCTCACTCGCTCTGTGGCAAAGGGCTGTGCTTGGCGGCTCCCGGGCGGGCCGTGGTGGTGCACCTGACGGGGCTCGACCAGGACTCCTTCGTGATGAGCCTGCGCGGAGGCGAAGGCCATCCCTTGAGTGCTGGCGCCGAGAACGGAGGAGGAGGAGATGCTCGAACCTTGACGGTGAAGAGTGGGCCGCGGGGCCGAGGCCGAGAGTGGCGCGAGGTCGTGGACGCCTGTGAGGAGGAGCCCTTCGGCGACTTCCCAGTGGCGGGGCCTCGTTCTGCTTGGTGGTGCTTGGACTTCCTGCGGCGGCGGCACACCCCCACGGATCATCACCCGATGTTCAAGACGACGGCGCGGCTCCAGTCGGAGCAGTGGGGGGTGCAGGAGCACGAGCAGCTCATGAAGTACATCGAGCTGGCTGGCACCTACGACCGGCTGGACCTCAGCAACTGTGCCTTCGCCGAGGCGACCTTTCGGCGGGCGCAGACTATCGAGTGGAGCTACCACGATCGGTTGCGGGAGGCCGACTCGGCCAGCTCCAAGGACAAGATGAGTCCCGAGGAGTTCTCGGCCTTCAGCGGCTTCAGCAAGGCTGGGGACCTGCTGATGGTGGCCCCCACGCTCCTCGAGTTCGCGAAGGGCCAGGTCGAGAAGGGCGCCGCCATCATGAAGAACATCAGGAAGGCTAGAGAAGAACGAGAGCTCCGCCGCAAGGGTCCCAAAGGGGGTGGCGGCGGAGGGAAGTCATGACGGCGTCGCGGGAAGGAGGCCTGAGTGCGGCCGCCTCCTTCTCGAGCTCCAAGGCCGCCGAGCCCCGGGGCTCTCCTGCACGCGTACCTGGGCGAATTCAAGTCGACGGAGTTCCAGACCGTCGAGATCTTTTTCTGTCCCGCTGCTTCGGGACGGCCTGGCCCCCGCGGAGGGCGCGGCGAACCGCTCGGTTCGGCGCCGGCTGCTTCGGCGCGACGCTCATGTGGCTGAAGCCAACCGCGCCCTTGGGGCCCTCAATGATCTGGCTGGTCGGCCCGGGGCGCCTGGCGCTCCTGGCCTGGTTGAGCGGCTGCCCCATCGCCTGGTACACGAGCGCGTTCGTCATGCTGCTGCTGCGCTGGGCCCTCCGCCACCTGGCCTCACTCCCGCAGGAGCCCTCCGTGAGCTCCGCGGTGCTGGCGTGTACGAGGACATCGACTCGCCAGTCGTCAGCTTCGACGATTCCCTCGTCTCGCTGCCTGAGGCCGGCAACGTTCCTGTGCCGCTCGGGGAGCTGGTTGCAGGCGTGGGCGATCTTGATGTCGAGGCAGCAATACACGAGCAGCTCCTTCCACGCAAGGATGCGGAGTCCAACCTCTCCGAGGCTCCGCGACAGCCGTACATGGATGCTATCCTACGAGCTCAGCCACACGCGTATGCTGGGCTGGTGCGGCGCTTGCATACGGCGGGGATGGTGACCTTCTCAGCCGCGCCGCGAGAGAGGTGCGGCCTCTTCTTTGTGCGTAAGAAGTCTGGCAAGCAGCGCATGGTGATAGACTGCCGGCGGGCCAACTGCTGGTTCAGGAGGCCTTCGACAGTCGCGGTGGCGACAGGCTCTGCACTGGGAGAGCTGGCCGTGCCAGAGGGCGAGCAGCTCTACGTCGGTCACGTGGACATCTGCGACGCCTTCTACCACTTCGGCTTGCCTGAGGCTTTCCGTGATTATTTCGCGCTGCCGGCGGTGAAGGCAGGCGACGTAGGGCTGACTGTCCTGGGCGGAAGGCCCCTCGCGCCTGGCAGCCGTGCGTGGCCAGTCCTGGCGGTCTTGCCCATGGGCTGGTCGCATGCGCTGTACTGGTGCCAGACCATTCACCGCGGGATCGTGAGCTCCATCCCCGCGCTGCTCGACGTTCCGTTCATTTCGGACAAGAGTGTAGCGCCGCCGGTGCAGCCACTGGCGATGACTATATATGTGGATAATTTTCTCGCCTTGGGCACGGATCCCGAGGCCGTTTCCCGCGCAGTGAAGCTCGTCAACGCTGCCTTGACGTCCAGGGGGTTACCCACCCATGAGGTCTGTATGCGCGATCATAATGCCGACATCCTGGGGTGGGAGATTCGAGGGCGAGAGAGAGAGAGAGAGATTCGACCAAAGAGATCAAGGCTGTGGAGACTTCGCCTGGCGCTCGATTGTTTGACAAGCAAGGCCGTCGTGAGTCCTAAAGAAGTTGAGAGAGTGTTGGGCCATTGTACCTTTGTTGCACTTCTTTGTCGTGAGCATTTGTCGATCTTCAGGTCCGTCTATACTTTCATTCGGCGGCTGGGCCACTGTACCGCGGTCCCTCTCTGGGAGTCCGTCCGATGGGAGTTAAATGCGTTCTCGAGTTTGCTGTGTCTGATTTCCAGGAAGTTGCAGGTGTCATGGAGTTCCAAGGTGATGTGCACAGACGCGTCCTTTTGGGGCTTCGGACTGGTCTGTAAGGACCTCGACAAGGACCTCGTGGGCTCGATGGGCTGTTTCTCAGAACGGTGGCGTTTCTTGGGCGACAGCAAGGCGCTCTCCAGGGCTTGGGCTGCAGGCCCCAGTGAGGACGAGATCATCACGAAGCCCCTAGAGAGCTCCAAGGACTTCCAGCAGTTCGTGGGGGATGAGGAGGCTAGCAAGGAGGCCCGCACGCGGGCCGCTGGACGTCTTCCCGAAGCGGTTCGAGAGGAAGGTTGGGCTGTCGTGGGCTCGCACAAGTGGGGATCTCCGCCTGGGAACATCGTGGAGGGGGAGGCCAGGGCTATCGCGTTCGGGGTTAAGCACATCTGCAGATCCACGAAGGCCTTTGAGTGCCACCACCTCCTGCTATCCGACTCGCTCTCGTCTGTCTTGGCTCTGGGCAAGGGCCGATCCTCGGCCCCCGGCGTCAGCGGCGCGCTGCGCTCCGTGGCAGCGCATGTCGCGGCGACGGGACTCCGACTCAGTGCCCGCTGGCTGCCTAGCGAGTGGAACTTCGCCGACGGTCCTTCGCGAGGGCTGCGGCACGCTGGATACGCTCGCGCTGGAGTCGGCCAGGCTGGAGCGTCGCCAGGCGGCGGCCCCGGCGGGAGAGGCCCGCTCGGCCCCGAGGACCCGCCCGGTGCCGCCAAGCCGGGCGACGTCAGCGCCGTCGCTTCGGAGGCTTCTCTGCGACGACCTGGCTGGCTCGCCACCGCTCTCCGAGGCGCGGGCTCCGCCTGCGGCCGACAAGGTGAAGCGGAGGAAGCTGGCCCGGCGCGGAGCCAAGCTGGCCGACGCGGGGACGCTGGACGTGCTACGGCTGAGCACGGTGCGGACACAGACAGCGAGGTCGAGGTGCCAGCAGCTGGCCGCCGAGCTCGACGAGTGGCTGGCGGAGCAAGGGTTACCTGCGCGGCCGACGTTCTCCCTCGACGAGCGGAGGATGATCCCGCTGGCGCCCGAGGCTGCCGCCGAGCTGGACTGCAGCCTTGCGGAGTGGATGTTGGGGCAGTACCTGGAGGGCGTCGATCATTGGCGCGGGGTGCAGATGCTGGCCGCCCTGCAGTGGAGCGACCCGCGTCTCGGCCGCGACGGCGGTGCTCGTCTGCCCGGGGCCAGGCAGTCGCTCCGAGGTTGGAAGGTGCTGACGCCGCCGTTGACGAGGCTGCCGCTCCCCGAGGAGGTCGTTGCCGCCCTGGCTTGCGAGCTGGTGAGCATGGGCCTGTGGGAGGTGGCGGCGTGCGTGGTCCTGTCGATGGTGTTCTACATGCGACCAGGCGAGTGGGGCCGCGTGCGGGTCAAGCACGCGATTGCGCCTCGCGCCTCGGGAAGCCAGGCCCTGCGGCAGTGGGCCCTGGTGCTGCACCCACGCGACGGCGAGGAGGCGCGGCCCAGCAAGACGGCGGAGTTCGACGAGAGTCTCGTGCTGGACCTCACCTGCGACCTGTGGCTGGGCGGCGTGCTGCGGAGTCTGACCGCTGCGAAGCCGCCAGACGCCGCGCTGTTCAGCTTCTCGGTAGAGGAATTCGCCGAGATCTTCAGACGCGCGGTCCGCCGCCTCGGCCTAGAGCCCGCGCCGATGCCATGCCTTCTCAGGCACGCCGGCGCCAGCCGAGACTTCGTCAACGGACTGAGGCCGTTGAGCGAGGTAAAACGGCGGGGTCGCTGGAAGACGGACGCCTCCGTGCGGAGGTACGAGAAGGGAGGAAGGCTGAGCGAGCAGTTTGCGAAGCTGCCCCCAGCCCTCCAGAAGCACGCGCTCCGCTGCCACAGCGTGCTCCCCGAGGTTCTCTTAGGGGGGCTCGCTGCCCCGCCGTTCCTGGCCCGCTAGCTGTGAGAGTTGTTCTAGAAATCTTCTCAGGCTCTGGTCGCCTCGCGCGAGCAATGGCGCGAAAAGGGTATCATGTGCTAGCGTGGGATATCAAGCACGGCCCTTTGTTTGATCTGCGTGACGTTTCGAGGCAACGTCAAGCCGGGCTCATCTTAGGTGTGCATCTTGGAACGCCGTGTGGCAGCTGGTCGCGCGCCAGAGATATCCAGCCTGGTCCTCCCCGTCTCCGCTCCGACACATGTGTCCTAGGCCTGCCCGACTTGATACCGTCGGCGCAGGCCGCAGTAGACTTTGGATATCAGATGATGCGCTTCAGTGTTCCTGTTCTAACGGTCGCCCGCCGCATGCAGGTGCCGTGTTCGATGGAGAACCCTTCAACCTCTCGGCTGTGGCTCGCACCGCCGGTCGCCTCGCTTGTCAAATCCACGCGTTGGTCTTTCGTCACTTCTGTCAGTGGGGAACCCCTTGGCGGAAGCGCACCAGTTTTTTAGTAACTTACATTGATTTGACCCCCTTGGTGAAGCTGTGTAAGCGCACTCAAGGCTGCTGCAGTCGAACAGGACAGCCCCACCAAGTGTTGGAGGGGCGTGCGCCCGATCATCGGTTCTGGACCGCCGTCGCCGAGGCTTATCCTTCTCGTCTGTGTCAGCAGTTGGCCTGCGCTTTCGATGATGCTATCGTGTGCCGTAAAGTCTCAGCCATGGCTTCGAAATTGTCCATGTAACCTTCAGTCGGTAAATGAAGACGGCCTTGGGGCCATTCGACTTCGTGTTTTTGGCACTGTCCCTTTTGGCGTGTGATAACCTCGAGGTGCAGGCTTCTGTCGCACGCGTCGCTGGTGGCGAGCTCTCTTCCAGAAAAAGTCGGCGTGCCTTGATGATCGAGGCGCTCCGCGCATGGCAGGTCCAGACAGCTGGGGATACAGTTCAGTGTTCCACACGTTTTTGAATCCCTAGTTGTCGCTTCCCTGCCGCCCATCCATGGCTGTTTGCTCAAAGTCCCCCTCCCTCCCACCATGTTTCTTTATCGAATCTTCTGTCCGCAATTCCTGGCCAGCCGTTGGCGTGTGCTAACCTCGAGGTGCAGGCTTCTGTCGCACGCGTCGCTGGTGGCGAGCTCTCTTCCAGAAAAAGTCGGCGTGCCTTGATGACCGAGGCGCTCCGCGCATGGCAGGTCCAGACAGCTGGGGATACACAGTATTATCGCGTTCGTTGTACCCGTCGCTGTCATCGAGAAACGCGCCCATGCAGCTGACGAGGTGGAGGGGCACCGCCGCCCACAGCTGCACATGTGGTGGTCCTCTTGCGCGGTAGTCGATCTTCTCGCCGTTCATTTTGCGCTCGTCGGGGCTCTTTGCGACGGCGTCGTACGTTGCGCCTGCGTCGGTCATGATTTGGGTGGCGCCTTTATCTTCTTCAGGTAGCCCCCATGTCTGAAACACAGTGCCCGCTAGATTGGCCAGCTCGTGGGCGCCCTTGGGGCACTGTTTTGCCACCACCTTGGCCAGCACTTCGTACATGTCTCCCTGCTTCGCCCTGCGTTGTCCTTCCTGCTTCGAATCTGTTGGCGGCGGCGCCGATTCTGGGGGCCCATCTGCCCCGCGCTTCGCAGGGGCCGACACATCTTGCATCCAGGACGCCGCAAGCACGATCTGCCCCGTCGCAGACGCCGACGCTGCCGCCGACATCCCAGCCAGGAGTGCTGGGCAGTCGCGCCCGTTGCCTCGGAAGGACTGGGCCAGGCAGACGGTTGCGCGAGCGATGGCGTAAGCCGTCTAGATCGACAGCCTCGAACTCGCACAGGGCACACCAACGTCGATGGAGGCTCCAGAGGTCGCAACGTCCTACCCCCACCGAATCGGCAATGCCCCCGTAGTGCAGCTGAAACTAGGTGCCTCGTTGCACATGCCCTGTCCCAGAATGCTCCCCGACAACATATACCTATAGTTGTTGGGGTCAAGATATGACACAGTGATCGGCAATCACGCCGTGAACGCAGATGGGCCATTCGCCCCTTTTTCGTGGTCAACCGTTCCCCACAAGTCTCAACTTGGCAAACAAACTCAAGCTCCTCAGGATCCGCAATCACCTCGGGGTTAGCCTCCCCAGCCTGCTCGGTGCACTCAGGGGGCGCCACGTTGGGAACCAAACAGACAAGAACGTAACTCGGTGAAATCGATCTGATCGGGCTCTTCCTGAACATCGAGGCCCCGCATGAGTCCAGGACGAGCAGCGAGAGAACCCAACCGACCCTCGTGATCGCGCAAGAGTCCCCGTGCCCACTCGAAATCTTCAGCGACGCGACGAGCCCACGGGGGAGCCGTTGAAGTAAGAGCCCCCCCCCCACCATGGGCGCCTCATGCGACTCGAAAGGCACCGAACCGAAGAGGTCCGAGAGCAACTGCGCGTGGCTGGAGAGAAGTCGGGCCCAGGCCTTGCACCAGTTCAACGGCCGAATGCCGAGCGCAACGTACGTTTCGCATATGCGCCAGCGTTGCAAAACACTTTGTGACGTCAACGTGCGAGTCGCCCCAGCCTCCGTCTTCCAGCTGGCGCGCCCGCGCATGGCCGCGCGATCAGAGTGCGCCACTGCGGTGCCCAAGCTAGCACGCTGCTTCTTCGTGGGCAGAGACGCCTCCAGTCCACGCAGCGCTGAATTCTGAACCAGTGACATAAAAAAAGATTGAACATGTAAACTCCAGTGAAAGACTGAGAGACCAGGGGCCGCCCATGGAAAAGAAGGCAGCGCGCGCGGCCTGGCGCCGACGGGTTACCTCCTGACTGGATACCTGGGACATGGGAACACGAGGCCCAGTTTAGCGAACTTCTTCTTGCAGAGCTCCCGAGAGGAGGGCCCATCCAGGCCCACGTAGCCATCTTCTACACATCGTGCCCCCCCCCCCTCGATCCAGACGACCAGCCCTCGCTTTCCCCGGTTTTGCTTGCACTCATCTTCCTGGAGGAGGGAGTCGAGAATATCGTCGGAGTGTTTGAAACTTGGCCAAGAAGGACTCCATAAAGTCCCCAAGAGGCATGAGAGTGTAGAGGTACAAATCGTCCGCGTATTTGAACAGACTGGGGTCGACCTCTTAGCCGTCCCATTCAGCGCGCAGACGAGCGAGGGCGGGGTCCACTTCCCTCAGGGCATGAGTCCACCTTGCCACTGGACGACAGAACGTCGTCGAAAAAGCAGCCACCATGAGCGGGTCCCCCATCACTCATCCCACTCCCGTCTTTACCGCTAACTCTCCCTCATCAGTTGGTAGTGAAACGACCGTGTCCCGATGCCAATGCTTACATGAGACAGCATGTTCAGGCTGGGCTAGCGCAGACATAGCATTGTCCAAAGCTTCCCAACTCGTGCTACCGAAGGCGTTGCTCACATCTTTCAGGCTGGCCCCGAAACTCCACCCCGCCTTCTGTAGTCTCCACTCCGCCACCTGGGAAGCCAACATGGCCCCTTCCCTTCTCCGATGTTTCTGGGAACCATCATCCTCGGGGGCCAGCTCCTTGGGCAACAGATCTGCGAAACATGGTGTTGCCCACGACTGGCAGCACATGAACCACGCGTTTTTCTCGCTGCCCAGGCTGAGCCGATTTGTGTAAAGCGCACCCCCGAGACGCATTCCAGTGCAGCGGCAGTATATATATATATATATATATATATATATATGCAGTTCGAATCTTCTTCATCCCGTCCGGGAGAGTCCCTAAGAACAGGGCGGGCTCCTCGGGGGCTCTAGGTGCTCCCAGACCAGATCGCTGATGATGCGGACCTCGAGCAGGATGTAGCATCTGCCACCCGAGCTCCAGGGGGGGCCGCGCCTTCAGGGACCACTCTGCGCTTCGTTGATCGGCGAACATAGCGACGCAATCGACCGATGTCTGAGTATCCTAGCTGTCCGGGCCGGTCATCATATCGAGCGGTATCGTATATCTGGCCCATGTCGATGTCGTTTCGCCACGTTTGCCACTCGCCCAGGTCGATTTGCTGAACCTCCGCCCCGCCGCCCCCCCCCGCCAGGCCGCGACCAGACGTCGAGCCACGCTGAACTGGCGATGGGGGCTGCTCCGAAGCTCCTGCCGCCCCGTCTGTGTGCTGAGAACCTGCACCTGGCTGCCCTCCGAGCCCACCCCGGCGCTTCGCACACGTTGCGCCTGGCCCAGGCCTCGGCAGACGCCCGGGCGCACGACCCACGAACAGCCCGAGGAGTCTCCCGACGAAGGGGGCGCGGCCCGCGGGAGAGGTCCTTCGGCTCTTGCTCGACTGCCTCCAAGTCAACGGCGCCCGCCCGAGTGGCACGCACTTTTCAATTCGTCGTTCGAGAAGGTCTCGCCGAAGTTGAGCCCAGTGCGCGCGCTCATCTGGGAGGGCCGACGGCTCGGCGAAAAACTCGCTACCCGCATCGACCAAGCACTGCTCCAGAAGCTCGAAGGCGCGATCAGGCGCGCCCTGGTCGTGGGCCTAGAGCCTCTCGTCGAAATGGTCCTCCAGCCACTTGCCGTCGCCCTCCACGAAGTCCAGTCGACGGTCGCCCCTCTTGATTGCCCCGAGCAGGGCCATCATGTCCCATGTGGGCTGCGCCTGGGCCTTGTCACAGTCCTGGGGCCCTCGCGGGCGAAGAAACTCCAAGTATACATGTACATGATCTCGCGGAGGCCGTCCTCGTTGAGCCTGGAGCTGGGCGCCGATGCGCCGCGGCGCATGACAGCGTGTGATATGCGACGCCCAGCTCTGAGGAAAGAAAATGAAGTCGATCAAGCTGCTTGGCCCCTTTCTGGGCCCTTCCCATAAAAAGGTGGCTTCGTATTTGCCGAAGGTGTTGGCGGCCATAAGATGCCGCGCAGAAAGAAGGTCAGCCGTCAACTCACCCGCCCCTCTATGCCTGCGTTCCCGCGCGCACACTTCCCGCGACCTCACTCTGGTACTCCTGCCAGTTCGCGTCGACCTTCCTGCAGCCGATACCGTCATTGAGGTCAGCGCAGAAGATTGGCACGCAC